ATATTTTATTGAAGGTATACGACGGTAAAGGCGTGAGAAAATCCTGACGACATTTGTTCAATTTTCTGAAGAAATTACGTATGCTGCGGCTCAGTAGCCAGTGTGGGTTTGGAAATATGGGAATAATCAAAGGTGATACATCGCGGTTAAAATAATTGTTTCCGCTCCAGTTGTGTGGGAAAACCAGCAGATCTTTAAATCAGTATATTTCAATACATGTAGCTCATCTCGACAAACGGCTTTCACTCACCGAGACCCATGGTATACCAAAGTCATGGAGTAAGTTTATCGCGATATCGCCAGCTAATATGTTTGTGTCACCTGTATACATTGTACGATATTTTACATTTTATTTATTCCAACATCATTACAAAATCATCCTAAACACTGTACAATTTGTAGTACAACATGAATGTGTCTTACAAGTATAAAACTGTAGGATATTTAATTACGGTACGTTTGAAAAAGAAACATTTTTATCGATGCTACTCCTTTATACGCTGATGCTCAAAACCGTCCAAAGCATAGTAAAATAAATGTAGCAGGAGGTGCTTTCGGAGGTAACATTCGATAATAAGGACTGTAGACCGCCTGCTCCCATAAGTGACCCAAATGGTGCAATAACTCGTGGCTTCCTTGACGTTAAGAGGTTGGTCTTCTTCTCCTTTCGACCCTCTCTTTTCTAACCACATCACCCCACGACGACGCCAACGGCAAGGACGAGAAAGCTCTCTCTTCTCTCACCGAATCCCTTCACACGAGTATTCATACTTCCGAAAGCCGCGGGACGACCCACAATATATAAATTCCTCCAATTATAGCCTCTTTGATGCCACCGGGCCACTCCTCTTGATACCCCCCCCCCTATGAACTCCCATCGCGAATATTCTCTGACGCACTTGGTTTACGTCCTTCTCTGCTCTGATGTTGTAATTTAGAGCAGTATCGCCAGTGGACCGGTCATTTCGGGAAATTTCAAGCTCCACTCTGGCAAGATGATTATATCGACACCTGACCTTCCTCGAGCGTTAAATGTCTTTGCCAAGACTTTGGTAAATAGGTCACACCTACATGTACGATGGACTATCCCAACTTTAATACTCGTGAGATTGATTGAGCTTTTTTAGAGGTAGGTAAAAGGAAGAGAGATGGCTTTAAATGTGTTGGCAATAAAAAGAAAAAAAAAAAAAAAACGAGTAGCAGTTGGGAGATTTATGCTGTCTACCGGTGGAAATAATCCGTGTCGGGTTTGGTTTGCTCCCTCGTTTGATACCATAAAAATCTAGCTCCATCAATCTGTTCATTAACTCTCCACTGGATTCTCCCCCGCAACTTTTTTCGCGAATCGAATCCAAAGAACCAATATTCGACTCGCCCACCATTCCTCAGCGTTAAAGTCCGCTCAGCACGTCTCTGTGCGCTCCGTAACCCCCCCCCCCCCCTCGATGTAGCCACTTTTTCTCGGCCCACACGCCAGCCAAAGAAAATCTCATTTTCTATTTTTCAGTGTTTTCCCGGCTAACTTCTGTATTTAACGGAGAGGCCGAGCTCTCTTTCCCCCTTCGGCCCAGTCGATACCCAATCAGCGCGTATCTCTCAACACGCATCTCTGTCCTACAGATGTACACGTGTACGTACGGTGGTTGCTTTTTCTGCCCGCGGATGTGTATTTTTTCACGATTTTTTTCCTCTTAACTCGATTTCGATGAATTCCTTTCGATTGGCCGATGAACCACTGTTTTTACAGATGAATGAACATTCGGTGGATTCGACGTGCCGTAGTTTACAGTTTTAAAGTGATGACGGATACCACCAGATGATCATCTCTCGAGTAAAGAATAATTTTCATTTCTACGTATGAAAATCGACAAGCTTTGCATCACTATCGCAATAAACTGAGTTTGACCGATGTTGCTCGCTTCGTGGGGTACAACGGTCCCCTTAAATCGAACAAGGGGTGCAGGTATCGGTAGTCAATAAGAAACGTATATCACATTGAAAATCACAGCCGAGCCGAGTTTCAAGGGGAATCCTCGCGGAGATAGCGATAAAAATCTCTCTCGAGCAGATATTCTGCGATCTTGTTACGGCACGAAAACAAGAGAGAGGAAGACCCACACAAGAGAGGTGAGTAAGTATCGAAGAGTGCAAAAGGAGAACTGCCAATTACGCTGGTAAATTCTGCTCACCTCTCGGGGGAAGAAAGGAGAATAAAAAAAAGGGGGGGAGGGTGAGACACACGGTATCGTCCAGAGATCGGCTCGACACCTTCGAGCTTCCCCTTGTCCTCTTCTTCTTTACCCATGGCTTTTTCGAGAACAATGCCACTGCGGGCTGAAGATAATCGCGAATAAATTGAAAGTGGTGCCGGGTTACATGCTGCTGGCCGCGCTCGTTACACGCCGCGTCACGTGCTCCGCTTGGCTGTACCTTTTTGGCGCTTGTAACATGTAGGCGTTGTCGTTGGCGGTATATATTATACGGTTTTTTTTTGCTTTTTGGGGGGATCGTAAGAACGCGCGAGAGGCCAAGATTGAGGGGATCGACTGCGGCACGGAGTTTGGGAAAAAAGTACCACATAATCAGCTATAAATTCGAAAAGACATGTCACACACGCAAAAGTTTTTGAGTGCTCGCTATCTTAATGGAAGTCTCTCGTGTTGTAGATAAGCCGTTCGCTTCGATGTTTATCGCGATGGCTCGACGGGATGTCATTTGAACGTACAAATTAACCGGATCAGGGTTTGTTGGATGTGAAACAATTAAAGGACACTAATAAAGTAATGACTTGGTTTAACAAACAAAGAGACATGCACTTTTCTGCCCCGTTTCGCTAATTACAAATCTCATGTCCGCTGTCGGTGTAATTTTTTATCAAAATGAAATTAAGCCAGCTGTAATTCATTAGTCCCACTGAGAACTAATTACCTAGTACATATGTATTCGCACCTTAATAATTACGTCGAGGAAAAAGTAAAAACAGCAAAGTGGAAGGAGAGAAGAAAGTATAGCAAAGCAACGATACATACACGTACGCATATAACACACGTGCACGTATACGGCGTGGTTTATGCGTATCGGACGTTGGAGGGCCGGCCTAATCTATCACCTGAGATACCGATCCTTTATAATTTCCTTGTGTAACGCACATCGCGTATATATATATATCATTACAAACCGCATACTAATTAGTTATTTAATAGTAGCCTGCTGCGAGAATACGAGAGACAAATGAGAGGATGGAAGGGAAGAAGGATAGCAGATAAAAAAAATAAAAAAATAAATTAAACACGGAGACGCTCGATAAAGAAAAAAAGGGAGGTGGAGGAGGGTTGGGCGGTTTTGCCTATCGAATAGAGGCCCGTCGACACGCACGAGCCCGGATCTCAAGATCGATATTACCATGCGTGCACGTATACACAGAAGCTATAAGCTGTGGTCTCGGCTTTTTTTTGTTCTCTTTTTCTCCCTCGAGACATCATCAGCCTTTTAAAATTGCTGACGCTGCGAATTTCGTGACTGGCTTTTAATGTTGATGTAGATTAGAGCGCTTCGTCTACATGGTATATTTTTTTTTCTTGTTCATAATAAATTATATTTTCGACGGTGTGCGTTTCTTGTTCAGTATGTTGTCTTAGTAATTGTTTTGTGGCTAAAAATTTGTCGAAAATTTTGTAGATGCTATAGTTGATGTAGATTAATTAGTAATGTACGTGTTTCCATTAATTTAATTACAAGGTATGAGTTTAATAAACAGTTTTTACTTATATTTATATTTTAAGTTTAATTATATTTGTTCATACGTTTTTAGAACTAAAAGTCGAGCAAAGTAACACTACGTTGTCTTTATCGTCATCATAACATGGTAAAGCTCTATCACGCCAATAATACACCAAGGGAACATATTTTTTCATTTCTGGAGAAAGCAGTGGATATTTATTTTTTTTCATCTTAAAGTATAATAATTGATTGATAAAAAAAGTTACGAAAGTTTATATGACTATCAAATTGTAGATAGTAAGTTATCGAACATTCGTAGATTACATTATCACAAAAATGTAGATCTTTCGTATGTAAGCTCATGAACAAGAAACGGTACGTTTGGGAAGAAATAAGGATATGGATCTCAATATTATTGACTACTCGACCAAAAGAAAGGGAGAGATGTCCATCATTGCTAGGATCGAAAAATTATGCTGAATATCCGTAAATGTTTCCTAGCCATTGATCATGTTTGACGACTACGGCTGTTTGTAGCTCTCAATTTTATCATTTTTTAAAATTTTATTTATTTTTTTTTTTTGCAAAGCTTAAAAAGTAATATTCCCATGATGACGTTATGTATTAAATTAAGTTTTGTTGGTCAACTATCCATATTTTCTAAGACAATGGTATCGTAAGAATTACACGTTGAATTTTATTATTATTTTAATATCTGTTTTTCAACTTCGAGTTATCGCCTAATAGTCTTGAAAAATCTCCCAGTTTCAACCAAGGCTCGGAAATTAGTAAAGTCAAGACAGATGATATTAAATAAGTACTATGATTTTTCCTGATAATAAACTCTCGTCTTTGGACATTTAAGATACAATAATCCAGATAAACGTAAAATTTTCTGTACTAAAATTTGTAATTTTTCATACGCAGTTCCATGGCTGGGGCAGTTTAATAATGATAATAAAAAAAGAAATTATACGCCAAAATCGATAAGGGAAAAAAGCTGCTAGTTATTACTATACGTGGGGTATATTCTGGAGAAAGCGAGGGACGTGCGTGTCAACAGAACATGTTGGCGATTGCCGGCTCGCATGCCAACACGCATTATAACGTAGTCGCTACTGCCACCTCATGCCGAGAAATCAGCTCTGTCCGACGCCAATAATGTACAAGTTATTATTTTATCAACGGCAAGACACGACGCAGCCGTTCCTTTGTTTTCGGCCATAATTGAGGGCTGGAAGCTTTCAAGTTTCCTCAGTTCCTTCAAAAAAACAACTCACCTTCGACGGAATCTACCCTTTCCACGTGATTTTTTTCTGCAAGAATGGTCTATTTTTTTAAAATTATTAGTGTTAAAGTTACGTTTTATTTTGAACTTATTGCATTTTATTAAATGATAATTCTTAGGCATCATTAATGCATACGACTTTACCTAAAGGAGTTTATTTGTCATGGTATGTTAAAAAAAAATAAATAAAAAAATAAACAATAAACCATTTAGACGTTGTGCTTTTTATTGAATCTAATTATTGTACATGGGACACGAGTGAGTGTACGGGAGTACCACCTAATTACTTTCAATTCTCTATTTTTTGGTAGCAAAAATAAAGGAAAGTTGGAAAATTGTGATTTTTATTTGACAAAACCTCATCATTGGCCATCTATGCCGGGCCAATTAAACAATAATCAAAACCAACCTTTCCTCTCGTAAATATTAACAATCATCAGCAATCTTTTCACGTAAGCTTCGCTCAACTCGCTTTGTAACACAATATTGGCAAGCTCATTAGCATCGTGATTGCTAGCCTCCTCACCAAATTGATGCAACGCAAATTTCAGGGTGACGATGGAAACCATGAAATGGCAAAGGGCCTCTTCTTTGCATTCTTTTTCAAACTCGGCCTTTGAAAAAAATTCAACATCGCAGTCGAATCTCCTCAGCCACGACACGAATGAGTCGTAGTAAAAGTCGAGCAGATCGTCAAGTCTATTTTTTAGAGTATCTTCGTCCAGACTAGTGATCCAGAAGTACATCACGTCTTTGAGCAAACTATTGTAGAAACAGTTCTGAAAATCAATCAGTTTGACGTCGTAGTCTTCTGCTCTATCACTACTTTTCTTGCGAAACAGTAAATTATTTAGGCGTAAATCGCCATGGGTTATGGTAGTCCAGGGCCCGTCTGTGTTCTTACGGTTCCGGAAGCTGAACTCAATTTTCGAGAAGTGCTGCTCGAATTTAGGCTGGTTTTTTAGAGCCTCGCGGTGGTTTTCGTATATATTTTTGAAGTGAACAATGTTTATACCTTGATTTTTCATTTGACCGATGATTTTTTCAAAGTCACCCGGTCGCTTTTGCCTCATTGCGATGCCAAGAGCGTGATATCGGCTCAATGCGGATAGAGTTGTTTTGGCTCGATTAAAGTCCAAGCCTGAAACGATTTATTCCGTATATACAAAAATGATTATAAAATATTTATTGCTTAGTCATGTATGCTCGAGCTTACTCAACATTTGGGCTAACCCAAGAGATATCGTAGGTTGAAAAGCCCATGTACGTGCAATTAACAAGATCTAATTATACAAAACCACGTAGGAGGACTCGCATATTATAAACCATTGATATGGCCACAATTTGCAATAAGAAATGTTTTTTAACATAAATTTTATATTTCTCTTCGGCAGTATTGTACTAATCTCTTTTTTCATCACAAATGTTACATACACTATTTTTATACTTTGAATAAAAACCTTTTTACCTTAAAAACTCGTTTAAAAAAAGGGGATTGAAATTAATATTTCGATCAAAATAATTTTCTTGCTCTTCCGAAATCACCCAAAATAAAATTAAAAAACTAATCGTAGTGAGAGCTAATAAAATGATATTCATACGTATCAAAAATTTACCTGAAAATCTATCGCACACGTAGTATCCGTGAGAGTATAAATTCTCAAGCAACAATAAAGCATTTGCATCGACTACGTCGGGATTTTCTTCACGCGAATTCTGATGTCCATAATATTTTGGGGTAATATTAATAATCTCATTCCCTTTGATCCCCAATTCTTTCTCCAGGTTCTGGTATGCCGGAATCAAATTAGTGTACATAAGAACCTCTTTTTTAAAGACCACACTCTGTTCAAAAAATCTATCGACTGGGTTTATCTTTTTCATCACTAAATGCAGACTCTCATCTACAGCATCTTTATTTTTGTGGATTGTTACATCTAGTTTTGTTAAAATTCCGCAGTAGCTCTCACCAGGACTCAATAATGTTTGTACTGAATAGTACACTATTTCAAACTCATCGCTGACAAACCTATTTCGTAAGGCAGATGTCAAATCTCGAAGGTCATAATCTCTCGTTGTTTGATGACCTTTTATTTTGGACACTTTGAAAGTAATTTTGTTAATATATGTTTTACAATCTAATTCGATTTTTCATATAATCATACAAAAGTGCTAAAAATCGTTAGCTTCTCGGTTTTCTGAATTTCACAAATTTTTTATTTGAAAAGTACTAACCTGAACACATTTGGAATTGATGATAAAATACAGGAACAAACGTTAAATAATGTGGCTTCAAATGATTGAATTCCAATATTCTTTAACAGTTTTTGAAAGATCAGCCTACTTTGATTGGGAATATTAAACAGCTATTGAAATATTGAGTCACAACTTATCGTCTTCTCAGAGAACCTGGATAATTTCTTGTATCAGTTTTTTGATTAATTTTTTCTATTTAATTTAAAAATATTGAATTAGGATTCAAATCTTTTTTTTACAAAATAATACATGTAATTAAATGAGAAAACAAACAATTTAGCTTTACAGTATATTTACTCTGAAAAATTTGCTAGATCACCACAGCAAATAAAAAAAAAAGCAAGAGTATATAATACTAGTGAGCTCAGGAAAAAAACTCGTGTATTTTGAAATAAAACACGTGTTCTTGTCTGATCAAGAAAAATGAAACGTTTGATCCCGGTGGATCAAACCTGGATTTTTGGTTGAGCCAAAAGTACTGATTCGGGCCGTCGCCCTTACGAAGTGTGCAAGCAAGTTGTGCTTACAAAGTCTCGTCAGAACTAATGCTCTAAAAATTTTGAGCTCGTGAAATCAGATTTTTTTAAATATTCACATCTCACCCTTTTTGCTGTGTCTATCAAGTCCTGTTTCCTTTTGTCTTAAAGAGCTTGCACGTGAACGGCAGCGAAAAAACTAGCAAAGACGGGAAGAACAGCAGCAGAAAAGCGTCCACGGCGATGATGACCTCAAAAGCCGAAGAAGGGAGCTACACGCTTCTTGATGGCAGGTCCATGTGAAGAAAGTAATATGTGTTTATTGAAGTTTACGGTAACGATGATAAACTAAAATCGTTGAACAATAAAGATGATGCTCGCACGTTCGAGCAACTAAAAATCTACTGCCCCTCGCTCTTTTTTGAACGTTATCGGCTGATTTGATACCGATGTCGATCGATATCAGCCTCTTTGTATTTTCTTTTTCGTTGAATACGAAACAGTGGATTAACTGTCATCAGACTTATTCAAGTATTGTTATCACCACAACATGGAGATTGCTCCTTATCTTGCGAATAAACAGTTAATTTTGCGCAACAGATTACAGAAATATCTTTTAGTTGTGTATCATTGCATGAAAATCTCAAGGTTTTGAAAAATTTGTGTAATTAATTATTCTTTTGAATATCACTATCCTTATCACATTCGGAAATTTGAACAAATCTTGCTCGATTCCGTAAAACATTGTATTGTGAAAGTTTTAAAACGAAAACTCAACAATAAGTATAGGATTTGCTACATACCTTAGATACACTATCTAGTTGCCATACCTGAAAGGTGCAAAAATGTGCACTGTAATTATTACCATTTTTGGAAGAATTGTTGCCTCTCGTGCAAAGAACCACAGTTTCATTATATCAAGGAATTTTCAAACAGTCATTCAGAAAACCATCTGCCTAATACCAAGAAACGCACACTCCGACATGGCCCTTCTGAATTCTGGACTAGAGAAAACATAACACGTCATGAGAATCAATGATATCTAAATTTTCCCAGACATACCCCTAACATCCAACTAATGACTCAGTGCCCGAACATTCAAATAACATATCAAATCAGCTTCAAAGCAAGATCCTCGAAACTAATGAGAACATCAACATTGGCCAGCCCAAACGTATACCTGCATCAATCCGATATTTCCATGCAGACGTTTTTACAATAACGAAAAAAGTGCACCGTCACAGGGCACAGTCGATCGATTTTTCTCTTCACCGGGCAAGCCAAGGAACCAGTCTGTCCACCAAACTACCCGGGAAAAGCACTCCCCGAGAAAAAAACGCAGCCAAACTCCGAGAAACATCTGTCAATTTCGTAAGGAAAAGTATGAGAGTCATATAGAGCGTGCTTTTCTCGCTCCATTTTTCCAGCTGTAGCTGTTGGTTTCTCCGACAAGAGTTGTATAGCATTGTGGGCGGGGAGTGTAGCTGCGTTGCGCAGGTGTCACTTGGCCAGGACGATGCGCGGCCAAGATACTCCCGAGGGTTCCCTTTTAGAGACGTATTACTGTCATTTAGCCTCTACAGGTAGACGAGAACACAAAGGACGATTAGCCTGCATCCCGTGATGCGTTGCCTCTCCTCTGTGTGCCTCACAGGTAAGTTTGCACGTGTAGAGAGGATCTTGGTAAGTAGTAGTCGGCCGAGCACGTGGTATCATTCCAGAGTATACCAAGTATCGGCTTTTCTGATCAATATATGCCTCGTCGGACCAAACAGAGCTGGAACCCGTGTATGCGTTGAAAAGTCGGCTAGTCCTGTTTTGTACTTTCTCGCGTGTAGGAGGGAAAGAAGACACTCACACGCGCATGGGTCCGGTTTTCTGGTGTGTTCCTTTGTAGCGCCCTCGGTTGGATGTGTTTGTTGGAGCTAAGCGCTTACTATGACGGTTTGGTCTAGAAATTTTTCATCTCGCACGGATTAGTGCACGCGTGCGTTCGACTGGAAACGAAGTTGAAATTCATTGGGTCGTCACGGTTTTTGTGGTGAATTTTTTTTTTAAAACTATCCTGTTGAGACGTCGAAAGGACGGCGGTTCTTTTGATTTGGACTATGGACATGGGATGATATTGAATGCCATTCAAATTACCCTCTGACTCGCACGTATACACTTAGTTAGAAACTCGTCATCTTATCTGTTTAGGTCTTCATTAAGTCATGTCCATTGATTGTAACACTTAAAAATCCTTCGAACCAAAAAACTATTTTCATATTAGCTTTAAGGTGACCTTTTTACAAAATTCAGCTTCCGAATTTTCATTACAGCCATTCATTCGACAGTCACGAGTAAGTGTAAGCAAGAAAGTACCGGCATCTCGGATAAAAAGCTCGCGCGGGTCGTACAGGTAGAAAGGGGCACGTAAGAGAAGGAAAAATTACGAGCAGGCGTCAGTCGTTATTTTCTATTTCTCGTGGATTAGCTCTCGCGTTCCCCTGTATAATGCATCGGCCACTTCAATTTCGCATGTGATGGCTCCAGACTACCCCTCCCACTGCCTTGCTTACCCTCTTGAAATCCATAAAAAAGAGAGCAGTACCCACGTAGGGCCACGAAATCAAGTATTAAAGCCTCCCGTGCCTCTTGGTCCGAGTAATACACTTCCGAAATGTTTTTCTCCACACGTAGCCGAGGCGTCCTTCGAGCTCTTTTCTTTATTGTGGTTCAGAGCAGTCTACACGTATGGGTGTTCATTGATCAATTCGACTGGTGGGTTGAATGAACCCTCACTTGGTAGACCACTATTTTATTGATTGTCGAGAAATCGACTCTGGCTCGCGCGTTTCGTTAATGACGAGTTTGAAGTGACAGGCAATCTGTTACAAATATCGATATGGAAATTTTTCTTTTCTCTCGTGTTACAATTAATTTTTTGCTTCACATAAAAAAACGGGTCCTTTACAATTTAGTAGATGTAACTATTAACAAGTACACTACAATGAGGGGTATAAAAATCATCATTCATGACGATTGCAAAAGCATAAATTTTTTGACTGTTACAAATTGAATGTAAAATTTGGGCAAATCTTGCAAGATTAATCGTAGCTGCTCAATTTTTCTGTTTCAAGATGAAGGAACGTCTCGGAGTCGGACGGCACACGAGGACTTTTAAAAGAATTTTTTCCGACGAGTATTGTAATGTATTCTTTCAGCTCTCGTTTTCTCATCACCTCATATCATGGTTTGTTAGGCGTGGCTCGTGATTCACGATGTACGTTTGTTTCCCTTATTTTTTTCCTCTCTATGTTTTCATACACTCTTTCTTGCTTTTTTCTTTTTCCCAAGGAATTTATGAATGGTAGCCTTATAATCTGAGATTTATTAAACATTACCATTTAAAAAATTATATCGGTAATTCTTCGCTGTAAAAGACATTTTGTAAAAAATAATTGAATCACCATAAAATATTAAAGTATTAAATCGAAATGTAGAGTAATATAGCCCCTTACTGTTAGCAACCCCTCAGGCAGTGGAATTAAACTTGTTCCGTTGTAAAGGAACCTCTAACCCTCGTTATGCCTAGCAAAGGAATGTAAAAAAAATAATGACGTTAAGAATTTTGAAATAGATTATTAATGTAAGGTATTAAACATGTTTATTCCAAAAAAAAAAAAAAAAAAAATATTCAAAAAAAGTCCATCATTAACTATATAATACTCACATCATCAGTTTTTTCATATATATTTTTAAGAATGCCATTGTTCATCCATCAGAAATAAATAGATTCACGATAATGGTAGTGTTAGTTGCTTCTACATAAGTGAAAATACATTATTCTAATACCTGTTTATTTAAATACGTATACTCTAATTTGAAATAGGGACTCTATATATTCTTTAATCTGAAACAAAGTGACTTATGGGAAAGGTTACTCATTACAAACCATAAGAGGTCAGTCACAGCGATATTGAAATTTTAATGGACAATATACTTGGTACAACTGTACTGGTTTAATGGTTGGTATTTTCGTATCTTACTTAACTTTAACCCTCAAAGTTATTAAACAATATACAGTCCCTACTGATACTATTACTATTTAAGGACATTCTGAAATTTTTGTAGATACTGAAAGTCTTCTTACCATGTAATCAACATTTTTTTATGAAATAACTTGTGGTATACCAGTCTCATGGGTTGGCGATCGGTTGGGGTTGCTTAGCACGTCAGATAGATATCGTGACTTTGTTCGACAACTGGTTGTTAAGTAGGATTACCTATATTTACACAAGTTACACTTCCAGTTGGTTGTGTACACAAGCCTAGCGTATACTTAAAGTTTTTTTCAGTAATTTTTTTTTAACGAGAATTTTTTTTTTTTTAATGGACAAAAAGTTTCAGTCGATCTCCTTTTGCTGCCTAGACTAACGTATAACTGCGCAAGCCATTAAATTCATCGGCGAACGCTTAAAAAAACCACTCATAAAATTACATAAAGAGCTTTAACTCCAGCCCAACCCTT